CTGATACCAAGGGCTCAAGTAGAAAGCAAATGTTTTGGGAATGATGATGGCAACAGTTGTACAGATGTGCTTGACACATGGATGATTGTATAGATTGTGATTAGAGGTGTAAGAGCCCCCAGTGGAAATATTTAATTAAAAAAGAAAGAAAGAAAGCATTCTGTGTTGGGCCGGGTTGACTAGAGAAACAAATCCAGAGACACTCATATATGTATAAGAAAAAGTGTTACTTCCAGAAGTAATTATGCATCAATAAAACATCCCCTCTCAGTCCAGCTCTTCAGTCTATAAGTCACTCTTCAGACTCATTAAGTCACATGCAATGATGCAGAACGCAGGAAAATCACAAGCCAGTGGGTGTAGTTATGTGGATCCAGCTGCCCGTATCATAGCGCTTGCAGCAGCCAGGGTCCGACAGCAGGAAAGTGAAGGCACAGAGAGCAGGGGAGGTGTCCAGGACCCTGCTCATGAGAAGGTCTCGCCCACAAAGAGTCACCATCAGGGTGTGGCCTGATTGACAGACTGAATTATACCCTTCCACTTTCATACATCTTCAAGTTTACATGAAATTATGTAACTACCACTTTTTTGTTCTTCTAGAATCACTCTTGGTACCAAATATCTTAGTCTGAGGTCTCTAGAGGAGTGCATCAGTGAGATGCATACATAAATATATATAAAGAGATGTAGTGCATGGTAAGGGTTTATACAATTGTGGAGGTTGGCAAGCCCCAAACCTATGTGTCCAGTGGAAGCTAAGGACCTCTGATGGCATGTGGGGTTACAGGGCTGGTGAATCCAAGACCTGCTGGTTAGGCTGGAGACTTCTTCAGGTTTATAACACAAGAACTGCAGATCAGGCAACTAGAGTGCGGGTCAAGAAAGAGAGGAAACTTTGCCAGAACTTTCACTTAGATAAAGGAAGCTGGCCACACTCCCAGTGCAATTCCCTTTTCACCTGATTGGCTGTTCATATCCGATCACAAAAATGGAAGTTGATCACATTATGAAAATGCACCTGTCAAACTGATGAGAATCATAGCCTAGTAAAATTGAGACTTACATTAACCATTACAGTTCCCTCAACCAAACTAGCAGCCCTCCTCTTGTTCCTTGCTCGGTTTTCTCAGCACTTTTTCCATCTGTCATACTATGTTTGTTTTTCATTAGAATATGTACAGCCCAGAGACTATGTTCACCACTGCTTTACTAGTGCTAGAGCAGGACCTGGCATATGGGGCACTTAGTGGCAATATGTTCTGCAAGTGAAATTTGATGTTGACGGAACCCCATGCTGGGATACTTGTGCCCTTGTATTTTGAATGAGGTCATTGCTAGTGTTTCCTTTCATTCACATCTGTGAAACCATATGGGTTTGGCAGAAAGCTCATACCCAGGAAACAGCAGTGGGGGGTCAGGGAAATAGTGATTCCTAGGGCAAAAGGCAGTAGAGTAAAGAACCAAAAATTGTTGACATTCTTTGTAATTCATTTGTTATTCTTTGATAATTCTTTGTAATTCAAATAATAATTCATTATTATTTCTGAGAACTCTTGATTTTTGACTCTTAGATATTCACTTCCGGATAAAGTGATTCCCGCAATTTCCCTTAAATTTTCTCCAGTACATAATTCATCACATCCTCAATTTGATGCCTCATGTCAGGGTAACAAGAAGTGTCATACATGCGATATTTTTGTTATATCCTTAAGAACCTAAAGTTATCATTTCAACGACCGTGGAATGAAAAGAGTAAGGCACATGTACCCCTTCCCTATACTCACATTAATGGCTGACTCTCTTCCCCTCTCTAGTTTGAAAACAGTATGAAGTCCAGTTTGCTGCTCAAGGAGCTTTATGTGGAGAACGCACACCTGATGAAAGCCCTCCAGGTTACTGAAGAGAAACAAAGAGGAGCTGAGAAAAACAACCTCATCTTGGAAGAAAAACTCAGAGCTCTCAACAAATTAATCAGTCAGATTTCTCTGGCATCTCTCCGTGTGTAAAGACTGCTTGCTTTCTTGGAATTCATTCTGAAAAGACAATCTTTAAAACCTGAGCCACTGTGATGCCTTAATCACCTGCAGCTTATTGGCCGTGGATTCTCGGCAACATGGCGACTGGGGTTCCTGGCTCATTCCAGCAGCATCTAGTCTATGCCAGATTCTGGGAAAATACACGTGTTGGACAAGAGCACATTTTAATAAAATTCCCAGTTTTACCACTGGGGAAACATTATGGAAACAGTCCAGACTGACAGAGAAAATGGGTTAAAATAATGTAATTCCAATACTGCCTTTTTGACTCTAGCTCTCATTGCCGTCAAGTCGATTACAATTCATAGTGACTTTGGCTTCAAAGATTAAAATATAAAAGTAGGGTTCTATACAGCGTTACCATATTTTTCCCTTTAAGTTTCGTTTATTTTTTTAAGCATACACAACAAAATGTACATCACTTCAGCAGTTGTGATGTATACAATTTGCTGATATTGATTACATTCCTCCAGTTTGTAGCCATTTTCAGCATTTTTGAGTTGCTGCTTCTCTGTTAGCATAAATTCACTACCCTTTAGAGTTCCAGAGGAATCCAGGTGGCATTGTGATTACAACGTTGGCTACTAACCACAAAATCAGCAGTTTAAATCCAACAGCCTGGGGAGACAGACTTGGTTGTCTTTTCCCATAAAGAGTTGCAGCCTCAGAAACCCACAGGGACAGTGCTACTCGGTCCTGTAATGTCATTGTGAATCAGAATTGATTTGATGGCAGTGCGGTTGGCTTTGTTTCTTGTTTAAAGTTCCAGTCAAATACTTAAAAGTTGTTGTCAATTTTATTCACTTGGATAGTTGTTAAAAGATCACAAAGCTTAAGGCAGACTTTTTTTTTACTAGTTGAAGCCAAACTATTATTTGGTTTCAAGAAGACATTATGGTGTATTTTTGGTTTAAGGTTTAAAGAAAACCTCAAAGCAATAGTTTTAGGAGATCAGCCACCCTCCGTGGCTCCAGAAAGTTGGGAATTAAGGAGAATTTTCTATTATTTTCTGCATTTTTGCCCCATTTCTGAACTCTTTGATCAAAATGCTCAGCAGTGGTAGCCAGGCACCAGGCAGTTCATTTGGACTTATGGCAAAGGGGGCCATTGTTCATGGAGTCAGTTAATTAGCCACGCATTCCAAAATCCTACTCTATTTGATTCTGTTGTTCCACATGATTCGACACCAACTGTGCCTTACAAATGAGTGAGGAGGTAGAACAGAAGCACCAAACATGTTAGTAAGCCAAATAATGGATATGTCCCATGAAACCATTACCCTGAACCTAACAGCTTTGCTGTCTTGTTATGCAGCTCTGTCCGCTATTACACTTCCCAATGGTTGCTGAATGCAAACTTTCCAGAAAGTCTTCACTCTGTAAGCGGATTGTCATCTAGACAATAAAGGACAGGACTCTTGTTCTTTAGGAACCACTTTACCACATGTAAATATTTGCACAGTTGGGAATAATGTATTCATTGTACATTAATCTGTTTTTCATTGGAATGTTTTTGCACTGGGAATTGAACTATATGTTAAAAAAGGTAAAAATATAGTTTTATACCAAAATTGATGGTCATTTGTTTATCTGAATATACTACTGTAATGTGAAATGAGTCACTGTATTTGTAGTTTTTCAATGAAAAAATATCTATATTTCAATTTTGTCCTTCATTTTTAATTATAAAATATCTCAAATAATTAGAAAAATACAGTTTTAGGAGAAAACCCATATACCCATCAACTAGATGC